TTTGAGAGATTTTTTTTCTCAAAAATGGCCAATTTTACTTCAGACAGTTTTTTTCTATCATCTGTTAAATATGTAATTTCCCCATGAGTTTAGTTTTTTCTTTATTTCATATGTGGTTTTATGTTTCTTTTTTTTTTTTAAGATGAGGACTTATCATTTCTCTAAAGATGAGCACCACTGGATCAGTTGCTGTTTTTCTCTTCCAATCTAAGATTTGTTCATTGTAATTCACAGTCATTTTTCTTTCTAACAATATGGGAAAATGACTGACAATTCACTACCACAGACTGAATATAAAACCTGTGATTCATAACTTCCTTTTCTTTCTTTTTTTTGCATTTCATCAAAAAGGAAATAGTTTATATTTTGCCATCACACAGATTTAGTTTTAAAGATTTCTTTTTTACCTTTGGCCAGATTATAGGCAAATTTTATAATACTGGACATGGATTCTGTGCTGGTTTATTTTTTGTAAACTTGATACAAAATGAACAATCTGGGAAGAAAGAACCTTAACTGGAGAACTGGCTCTGTGCACCTGGCCTTGTCTGTCAGGCATTTCTGGATTGCTGATTGACGTGGGAGAGTCCAGCCCACTGTAGCAGGTGTGCCTGGGCTGAACAACAAGGTCGCTGGGCAGACAGGGAAGCAGGCCATCAAGTAGAGTTCCTCCACATGATCCCTGCTTCAGTTCTAGTCTCAGCTTCATTATAAAGTAAACCTTCTCTTTGCCATGTTGCCTTTGGTTTGAATGTTTATCATAGTAACAGAAAACAAACTAGAACACTAGTAATAATCTGCGGTGTTCCCTCTTAAATGAATAACATCTTTTATATATTTGTTATGAACAAGTATGAGATCATATGTTGCGACCTTGGTCATAGCTATATTTTTTCCCACTTTAAGAAAAGCCATAATATTTTGTCTATTATGGGGTTTTTATATTGTCTTTTGTTATTGTTTACTGTTGAGTATTCCTTGAACAATGATGGTATTTGCTTATTTCATAAATCATATTTTTCTATAAGTTATTTTGTATCTCTTATATGTCTTTTTGTTTCTGATGTGGTCATAGTTCCTGGTTTCACATGATTCTTATCTCAGTGATTTCTACATTGTATTCAGTTGTGCTTTTTTGTGATAATCTCCATTTGCTATAAAGAAGAGCTTCTTTGATGAGGGGTGGTAACTACACTTATCTGTGAGGATAAGGATAGGACTTAGTGTAGTTAGGAATTCATGCTGGTCTATCAAAGTAGTGATAGTAGATTCTTTTTATAAGATCCATGACTTTACTAGCCTTGGGAAGCTGGCTCGATTCTGAGACCTGGCATATTTTCTCTCCTATTGAGTGGAAATGACAATTTTTATTCATTCATTCATTCATTCATTCATTTATTTTCTTTTTTAATATTTCTTTCTTTTTTATCTTTTCTTGATTTTACATCCTTTTCAAAGCTTCCCCTCTTCCCAGACTTCTCCCCACCTCCCCATCCACTCCCCTTCTACTGTTTCTCTTCAGATACAGGCAAGCCAAAGATATCAGTCAGCCAAGGGATATCAAGCTTCAGTGAGACCAGGCACCCCCTCCTCCACCAAGGTTGAATGAGGCAATCCAGCAAGACGAAATGGGCTTCAAAAGCAGGCAACACAGTCAGAAACATCTCCTGCTCTCACTGCTAGGAGAACCACCTGAAGACCAAGTTATATAGCTGTAACATATATGCAGAGGGCCTAGGTCAGTCCCATGCAGACTCCATGGTTGTCAGTTTAGTCTCTGTGAGCCCCTGTGAGCCCAGCTTAGTTGGTTCTGTGGGTTTTTCTTGTGATGTCCTTGACCCCTCTGGTTATTATAGTCTTTCCTCTTCCACAGGATTCTCCTAGTGTTTGGCTGGGGTCTCTGCATCTGTTTCCATCAGTTACTGAGTAAAGCCTCTCTGATGACAGTTGGACTAGGCACCAATCTATGAGTATAGCAGACTATTGTTAGGAATCATTTCATTGACATTTTTTCCCCCTCTGTGTTTGGTTCTATCCTAGGTCTCTGAGGGTATCCTTCTTCTTGTTCCTTGTTCTTTTTTTTTTTAAAACTGATATTTATTGAGCTCTGCATTTTTCTCTGCTCCCCTCCCTGTCTCTCACCTCCCCTTCAACCCTCTCCCAAGGTCCTCATGCTCCTAGTTTACTCAGGAGATCTTGTCTTTTTCTACTTTCAGAAATAACAATTCTTAAGACACTACCCCCAAGCAAAACTGATTCCTGAAAGACAAGTAATAAATAAGCCTATGACTGCTCTAGTTACTGTACTGTATTTATACTTTATGTGTCTATGAAGAAGCTTCTTGAGGTTGAGAAATAACCACCCCCCAAAAGTTTAGGGAACAGTATAAAAACCTGGAGCTCCTAGAGACTAGGAATAGGACCATAGCCCACCAGACAGAATTGAAAACTGTAATAGCCACATATCTGGTAGAATATCTGGCGACATTGTGTGTATGTTTACTTGGGTCTTTTCTTCTAGATTTTTACTAATATATCTAGTCTTTTCTCTTGTCTTCTAGAATAATGACATGTATTTTATTTACTGTGTTTTAACTTTAGTTTCCTATTTCTATCAAGTATCAATCTAGGTTGGTTTTGATTGATTTTTCTCTCATTAAGGCTCTAGAAATTGTCCTTTATAATTTTAAAAAAAATTTACTTAGTAATCAGTTGATACTTACTAAGCATTAAAAAAGAGATTATAAATTTTACCTTGTGGAGTGTTAAGTATTTCATACTTCTATAAATATTCCTGAGTTTCTCTGGGATGTGTTCACATTTTTTGGAAATTTCTTTCTTGGGCACTGCTTCTAGTCTTTGTTAATGTTTCATATGAAGTAAGGTTTGCTCCATTCTGAGCCACAACCCTTCTGAATGCCACATGCCCATGAAGCATGAGCTTTTTCCTTTTTGGTTGGTGGTTACAGATCTTAGATTGAAGATTAGATTATCCTTCATGGCTTGTTTTTAAAGAACTCTCGGGGTCATGATAGAGCAATCTTTATTTGTGGGCCATTTTATTCAATGTATAATGAAAACCTCTGTGTTTGCTTAATAGAACTCTAATTGACAAATGCTAACCCTGAGTGTGTTTTTACTCCCTTGATTGATGGACACATGCCTAAGTGTGTGTGGATTACTATTAAGTCTGAGATGCAAGTGAACCCAAGTATAGATAGGTAGCTTTTGTTTGTTTACAGAGCTCTTTGTTTCCCAGTATCTATTCTAGAAAACCTTGCTGCTTCATTATAGTGAACTTGGATCTTTGCTTCTTAAGAGTAAGCACAGCTCTTGTGTTTTGTTTGAATATGTCTGCAGTGGTATATAGAACATGTCTCAGCACAAAGACAAAGTGCTTATAGAGACTATCTGGTTGTTTCAATTTTCAAGCAACATAGATCACACTAATTTTTGTTCAAGATCTGGAAAGTGGCACGTGTGTGTGTGTGTATAAAACTTTGCAGTTGTTTGCCATCAGAAGGTAAATCTGGTATCAGTTATTTCACAATGGCAGTAGACATAAGTCCCACACTTTTAAATTTTTGTGGAAAGTTGACAAAAACTTTTAGGTGAAGTTTCAGGAAGGAACTATAGTGGATATAGGTAGATTTTAGATTTCATGTTTATGTAGCAATTGTACATTTATAGTCTTTTCAGACTTACTGTTTGTCCTCTTTAAATTGATCTACTGGATGAGATAATGTAAGCAACAATGCACTATACAAAAGGATTTTTGTTCAGGGCAATTTATTGAAGGTTCTCATAGTGTGTTATTCCTCAGAACTACTCTTGGAAATTAAAAGTATTTGGGATCTTGATTGTACAGGAGGTTAAGGGATGGTGCTCCTTGTAATTAGTTCTAGTTACCAAAAATCAGTTTCTGTGGACTTTGGTGTCACTGGAGGAAAAGCCACTTTTTAATAATAAATGTCATTTCAACTTCTCACAATTAATGTCATTTCAAGAATAGCCACATGTCATAGCACAAGAGTAGGGCGACTGAGAGATATTGCCAAAGAGCGAAATGTTACTGAGTTTTTGTACTCAGTGACACACACACACACACACACACACACACACACACACACACAGAGTGAATGTTTATTAAAACCATTTCACTTGTCTGTGACTCATACTGATTCTTTACCATATATCAAACATGTAATAGGTGATGGTGAGCCAGCAACAAAGGTTTTCTAATTAGAAGATTATATATAATATATAAAATAGACATATGACTATGGCAGCAAATAGTCTAACAAAGATTAATGGAGTACAGATGTTAAAACAGTTTTGAAAAAGCTGATTTATGTAGTTTAATTGTCAAAAAGTAATACAAAAGAGTTCAGAAGAATTGTGGCTCAGCAGTGGGCAAACCTTAGATCATATGACCCCTCCAAAGAAAGACTAAAAGCAGTACTCAAAAAAGAAAATTCCAAAAAATGTGAATAAATCCCAGAAACAGTTTTTATAGGAGTATGAAATTACTTAACACTCAACAAAGTAAAATTTGCAGTGTCTTCTGTGTGCCATCATTGTATGATGACAGCTGAGAATAATAAGATTGTTCTATGGAAAGCAAGCAGATTCAATTAGAGTGAAAGTTTGTGTTGGAGGAGGAAGAAACAAAGATGCAGAACTAACTGAGGTGTTGGGGTGTAGATTTTGAACTGTAGATTGGAAAGGGATGTATGTGACTGGAAGGGACCTTTGTGGGGCTGGCTTGTTTTGGGGATGGACTGTGAAGCAAATTAAGACAATGAGTGCAACTGAGTTCGGGTATAATTTGCAAAATGAAACTCCATTCCTTCTTGGCATTTGGAAAATGGTGGTTGCAGAATTAGTTAATGCAGAATACAAACATTTACTTATGATTACCACATGAAAGTAAATAATAAATATAAAGATGCTAAGTGAAATTTGAGGAGGGTGAATTAATTTACTTTCTTTTATTTTAGGTTGCTGTTCTGGCTTAGGCCGTCTATGACCTTGATTGTGTTTTCATTCAAGATAACCCCTTTCCATCTTTATTGATTAACTGAGCAAATTCAGGTTAGTATAATTTTGTGAATAGCACTTCTACATTTCCATTTTAATATTCTGAGACATGGATGATTTTGTTTTTAAAGCTTCATGTGTACGTGCCAATGGATTAGGAAGGCCAGGTTAGTCTAAACTCTAGTGAATTGTTCATTGGTTGGGAAATACTTTCTGTTTGTCTACTGAGTATAATCTGCTTTTCATAAACACATAAGCAAGTTACTTTTTAATGGTTTTGACTTTCAAGTTTTAAACTTGATAAAACAAGATGTAGCCACGTTTTCTGTATTGAACCTTGGGTATTATTGTGTGGCATAGTTGGTAATGCAAATAAACTCACCTTAGAAACTTCTTGATGTTTTAGTAGCTCTTTTAAGACTGTCTACACATGAACAGCTCTACTTTAATGTTAATTCTAAGAGTACTGGCATAAATACTCATCACTACAATTAAAACAGTTCCATGAGCTTCCAGCTTTACTCATGTTGTTCCTTTGTAGGTAATCCCCGACCTTTGAGCACAATCTGTAGCAATCTGGATCTGTTTTCTGCATGTATAGTTTACCTTTTCCAGTATGCTACTTTAAGTGCAGTTAGCTAGTATTCAGCTTTTGAAGTTTTCTTCTTTGACTTAATATAATACATTTGTATGCTATTCATGTTTCTGTGTATATCAGTTGTTGCTTTACAGTTGTGCAGTAGTATTCTGCTGTGTGGATTCACCACAATTCGGTTATCTATTCACTAGTTGATGGATATTTGGATTATCTCAAGTTTCAAGTGATGGTAAAGCTTTTAGAGTCATGCATTTAAAAAGATAGTATTAATTCTTATTCTTTATTAAAATAAATAACTTTTTTTGTTGTTAAAAGACACCATACTGATTTTTAACTGTTACCTTTTTCAGTGGGGCCTATCATTGCATTTTTTTAAAAAAAAAAAACAACAACTTTTTTTTTACCTGGGTAGTGGTGGTGCACACCTTTAATCTCAGCACTTGGGAGGCAGAGGCAGGCTGATCTCTGTGAGTTCAAAGTCAACCTGGTCTATAAGAGCTAGTTTCAGGACAGGCTCTAGGAAAACCCTGACTCTAAAAACCACAAAAAACAAAACAAAAAAACCGAACTCCCCACCCCCCCAATCCTGTGCTGGATATTGAAATGAGTCACTTGTACATGCTAGGCAAGGGCCTCCTTTTTTTGTTGCTTTTTGAGACAGGGATTTGCTATATAGATTAGACTGGCCTTTTGATCTGGCTGATCAGTGTTTCTGCCTTCACCTTCTAATTGCTAGGATTAAAAGCATATGTCACCATGTCTGTCTAAAAATGTTATTAAAAAGAAATTAGAAAAAAATTCAACAGACAATGGGTAGGGGGAGAGACCTGCAGCTTATGGTCATTTTGTGTGTTCAGTAAGAGAACCATTTATAGTTGTTAGAAGTAGACTGTAGTGGAACTTGCAGTGTTTCCTTATTTTGTTGAGTGCAGTGTCAAATCAGATATGTACAGGTAGAGTAAGGCTAAAGTTACCAGTTTATAAAAATCATATAAATTATAAGCAATCTCTGTTCTTAAAATTTTAGTTAAAGAGGACAGAAGTTTAGCATGGAAAAGTTAATTAGACTTCCTGAATGGACATTTGAGATGAAAGTGAATTAATCAGCTCTACTTGGGGAAATTCATGATTTCAAAAGTAGCTTGAAAAGCTATTTGAATATTTGTAAGGAAGTTGTTCTTTATTTGCTCTAGAGATGAAAAGATCTTGAGAAATGTAATGCTCCGAGTCAGAGAATGCTGATGTTGCTTGGTAGAGATTCCTGCTGTTACACTGGGCACTGTAAGTGCCACCGTTTCCATTCCTGAATATTTTTACATGGATTTTGTAGCTTTCAGAGAATCTCTGTGGCCACATGCTAGTGTTAGTTATATCGTGCTATCAGGGATGGTTTCTTTTGTCCTTTGAGAGAGTGAGTGTTTGCGTGTGTGTGTTTGTGCCATTTGGGCAACCTTGGGAGTGTAGAGGTTAGTGGATACCTTGAGGGAGGAGTTGGTGCTCTCCTTTTATTATGTAGGTCCTGGGGATTGAACTCAGGTTATCAGACTTGGCAGCAAGCACCTTTACCCACTCAGCCATCTTGCTGGCCCATCAAGGAACATGTTTTAAATAAATAAGCACAGTCAGAGTACTTTTGAGGTTGATTCTTTTGACGTAGAATACAGCTTGATCATCCCTAACACGAGAATCTAAAACTCAGTATTCCAAAATCTGAAACCAGTATGACAGTGTAAGTACAGAATTCCACACCTCACTTCATGTGTTACGTCAAATAAAAACACATATTAAAAAATATTAATGCAATTACTTTCACGTTACATAAAGGTCTCTATGAGACATAAATGCATTTTGTGTTTAGATTTATTTCCTTCTGAGAAATCTCATTATGTCTGTGATTCTCCCCTCCAGAATCACTGCTTGGTTCCGGGTGAGAGGAAGCTAAACTACATGTTTAATGTTTCTAAAACTCAATTTTAATTTATTTTCTTTCCAGTTGATTTTAAGATAAAATAGACCATTTATAAATAATTTACGATGTGATCTTATTTTGCAAACAGATAAAAACTGCTGTTTTTGAATATATAGCTATAAAATGTAACAATTATATTTTGCTTTACAATCTCAAAACATGACATTTATTTAAATTTTACAGAATTCAAGTAAATCCCTTTCACAAGTATGTTACTTTCGTTTTTAAACGTTCCCTAAAATAATGTTATTTAAAAACTAATTCTAGTTTTTGAAAGGTCCTTAAAATGCTGTCATTTCTGTTCTTCAGAATTTCATTCATAACAATATTGATAGACAATAATCGATAGGATAGGATTAAGAATTACCAGTTTCTTTTATTCAGTGAATAGTGTCAAGCTTAGAAAATCAAATGATAAATCTTGTTTGAGATACTCTTCAAGAAGTACAAAACAAGATTCACACAAAGAAGTATTTACTTCTCAAAATTTGGTTTCAACATTTGGTGTATAGGAACATTGCACAATTGTGACTAAGGTTGCTTATACAAATTTTTAAGAGAAGAAATTAAACATTTTTGCTTATTTTTTTTCTGTTGCTAGAAGCATTTTATTGAGTGACAGCAACTTCATTTTTGATTTATCTAAAGTTTTTTTTTTTTTTTAGCTTTTAGGTCAATAACTATTGGAAAACATTTCCCTGTGTCTTATGTTCTTGATATGATTTTGCATACCTGTTTAGCAGAGTATTGACAGCATTTTAAAGTAGCCATCTTTTCCAGGAAAGCCATATACCAATCTAGAAGAGTAGAAATTGTCCCTCTGTTAGGACAGAGGACAGGTTTCTTTGCTGGCTGGGATGAAATCAAGATAATTTTTCTGGAGAGAAGTTAGGCCCATCCATATCCTATTGGAAAGAACAAAGTTGGGTTTGTTACTTATTGAAGTAGGGAGGGTATCTTGTCTTAGTTTGTTTCTTGTTGCTGTTTCTGGAAAAAGCCACTTAAGGGTGAAAGGGTTTATTTTGGTTTATAGTCCCAGCTATAGTTCATCATCTTGGGGGAAATCCAAGTGGCAGGAATCAGTAGCAGCTGGTCATGTTGCGTTCAGAATCAGAAGGCAGAGAGTGATGAGTGCATGCTGTTGCTCTGCTCCCCATTTCTGTTTATGCAGTCCAGAATCCAGTGTAGGACACGGCCCTTGTGGTAAGAAAGTATTCCCAACTCAATTAATGATTACATAATCCTTCACAGACGTACTCAGAGGCTTGTGTCCCCGATGATGATTCCAGATTCTGTCAGGTTGACAATACTGACTGTCACATGCCTTGACACAGATGCTGCAAAGCAGCAAAGTCAGGGTCAGTGTTTGAGAATTTGAAATTTGGTTTAACTTAGCTCTATCAGTGGTGGTGATGGACTTGATTAGAACAGAGTGTTGATGTGAGACTGCTCTTGGCTTTTTGATTAAATAAGGTTTGAGTGTATCTTTTTTTTTTTTTTTTTTTTTTTTTGAGACAAGGTTTCTCTGTAGCTTTGGC